AGCAGTTTGCGGTTTCCTTATATCAATAATTCCTTTCTTTGTCAACCCTAGCCCCAAAACCCATGGTCCCTAAAGTCCTAAAAAATATGCGTCCAGGGTCCAGGGGTTGGGTCGTCCATTCCCGCCAAACTCTTGGGCCTTAAAGGGCCCTGGCAAGGGCAAGGGTGCAGGCGCAGGTCATGAATCTACGAATGCAGAACTGTAACTTGATCATACGCAGCATACGCACACACACACACACACACGCATGCCGAAGCTGACATAATACCACACCGACTGCAAGTACGTGAGCACTGCTAGAGTCGGCATCCCTTGTTAGGTGCAACTGCACTCCAGCGCCTTCCGGGCGGGGAAAGGTCGGGGCCTGACTGTTGCTGATTTGTGCCGGCTTTGACGTCAGTATCCTGTACGGTTAGCACACCCCCAAGCTGCCGTTTCATATCGATTCATATCATGGTCCTCCTGCGCTTAAAAGTCGGTACTGTATTGATAGGGTCTACCTTGGGAGGTTTTCACTGTGCTAGATAAATCCTAAACTTCTTCAAGGTGGCTCCTGATCTTCTGGCTGTGGCGATGACGATGAGGCGGGTGCGCAAACGCTTTAAGGCCCAACATTTTCGGAGTGTAAAGGGTTTGGGTTCAGGCTTTTACGGTTTAGGTTTTTTTTGGTGTCTGGGGTTTGGGGATTACGCTTCAGGCCCGAGAAATCACAAACTAACAGTAATAAGCCTCAATTACCTTTCTTGCTTACATCAGCCCGCCGGTGCAGGGGTTGCCTCTGATCTTCTTCAATGCTGCGTGGCCTCAGTCATTGCAGCGGCATCAGAAAGCCACTTTCATAACCATTCTTGAGCTGTTCAGTAATTACGGCCGCTGTCCCCGTTCACGGTTAAGCCGGACGTTCTTAGAGGTGCAGGAAGAACATCTGAGATTCCCTAAGGGTCCTGGTGCAAAGGGTCCCGGTAGATCCCTCTGCCAGACACATAGCATATCTATCAATCGATCTATCTATTTGTCCATCTATCTATCTATTATCTATCGAGCTGATCCCGATCCTCATCTACATATTCCTCAGCTGGTGCCGTCTGGGTCTCAGGATAAGGGCAGTGCATTGGACTTGATTGACTTACGAGCTTTGTCCTGATTTCCGAAGTCACGGTTCTGTTGTGCGATTCAGACATGGCAGTGGGTCAAAACCTTCTGGTTTGTATAACAGGGCCAGGGCGCCCCTCACGCGACAAAGTTTGTAACAATCGTGGTGATTGGTGGAGTGTCGCTTCCAGATCTGCCAGGGACCCAAGCATGCAGGGATTAAGGGTTTTGCGATGGGCACTGTGAAAGGGCCCATCGCTAGATCTAGAATATCTAGATGTAGCGACAGTACTCGACAATCTAGAAGTGGGCGCTGTGATAGGGCCCACTTCTAGGCGCACGGGCACTGTGAGAGGGCCCGTGTGCAGAGGCTCCATAGGGAGCTAGAGTCAGCTAGCGGTGTCAGAAAAGTTACCACAGGGATAACAACTGGCTTGCAAGCGATCATAGGGACGTTGCTATTTGCTAATGAAGGAACCTGATTAAGAAACCTTGTGCCTTTATTAGGGTTCTTAATATGGATCCTAATATATTTGGGGTTATAGGGCCAGGGTTTCTTAATCAGGTTCCTACATTAATGGGGACGACTTGAAAAGTGGGCACTGTGAGAGGGCCCACTTCTAGGCTTCAGGGGGGGGCAACAGGGCTTGGGAAATTTGGGAATGGGCACGGTCACCCAGTTTCAGGCGGGGACGAGGCTGGCACGAGTGGAATGATCCGACAGTTGCTTGCACATGGTCTTTGCTTTGGTCCGGGAATTCTGTGAGGTTCTAGTGCCGAGTGCTGCATCGAATCCTGGGGGGAACAGCCGATGCAGGACGGGTCCTGACTTCTGGTTGGTTTCGTGCATGCTTCGAGCCACTATGTATCGGAGGATCGTGGGCCATCGACGACATCCTCGAGTCGTGGATCAGCTGGCGCAGGACGGGTTTTGTGCATTCTCGTGAGTTTCTCTTGCTTCGCCGTGTCTCGGAGGATCGTGTGCCGTCGACGACATCATCGAGTGCTGGGGCTGGGGAGCTGCCGGTGCAGGACGGGTCCACCAGCCCAGTGAGCTTCTGTTGCTTCAAGCCGCGAGCTCTTGGAGGATCCTACACCACCGACTGCTGGTGCTGGCCTCTGCGGGATGGAGGCAAGACTGTGGGAGTGTGTCCTCGCTGCCGTCTTGCATGTTTGTGCTGCCGGATTCTTGTGTGCAACTGACTTGCTCACTCTGTTGCTGCACATTGCCGCATTCTGAGATCGAATGGTGAGTCTCACATGTCGGGGCACTTGTCAGCACACAGATCACACAGCCCCCATCCTGGGCACATGGGTCACATGGGGCCAGCTCTGACTGCATCGACAGCACAGACAGCACAGACAGCACACACACAACACACGCAGCACACACAGCAGACACCATAGACACAGCAGCTTAGGCTCACACACAGCAGACACCATAGACACAGCAGCTTAGGCTGATCGTTGTCATGGCGTCCTCCTCGTCCTGGGGTGGAGGAGGATGGCATGGTGGAGGTGGCTGGCAGAGTGGAAATGATGGATGGAAGGATGGAAAGAATGAGAAGAAGACGAAGAAGGTGAGCGAGGCCAAGAAAGAGAAAAAGCACCTCAGGAGAGGTCAGCTCGAGCGCGAAGCCATAAGGGCACCACAGCTCCGCCAAATCGAGAGAAAGGAGGAGGAGCTCAAGGCAGAGAAGACGAAGTCCGAGGACCAGGGTTCTTGTTTCCGGGCGGTTGGGTGTTTTGAAGATGTGCTGTGTTCTGGATGTTCTGGCAGGATCTGGAGAAGAGACTGTTGGAGCTCGAGGGCCAGAAGGACGAGCTCCAGCAGCAGAAGGAGAAGCTGCAGCTGGACCTCAAGGCCTTTCACCGTTGCCAAAACCGTTCGTGCGAAGCAGCAGCCCTGGCAGGACTCGCAGATCAAGGCGAGAGACGAGGGCAACATCAAGAACGCCTTGGACAACGAGAACACTCGGCTTCACAAGCGAGTCGAGGAGACTCGTGTCCTTGATGCAGCCGGTTGTTCTTGCCTTTGCTGTTGGCTTGTCAGAATCTCGTAGGACAACTTGGCCGAGTGGACACAGCTGAAGGAGGACAGCCTAGAGCTTCGGGTTCGCGGTAGGTGGACTTTCCTCGCCTCAGGAATACAGGGCCCGCATCAGCCAGCTGGAGAAGGAGATCGCCACGACGCCGAACTACAAGGCATCCCGACAGTTCCTTACACCGCCGCACCGTGTCAGCTGCAGCTGTTGTCTTGGTCGTGCAGGACTTGTGCAACTCACTCGTGAAGGAGAAGAAGGCACCATCAGGGTTCCCATTATTTTCGCGAGTACTGAGTAGCCATCTGCCCTGAAGGGGCTGCTGGACCAGATCAAGGAGTTGCAGTTCAGCTTGAGCCAGAAGGCCGAGAAGGTCGATTCGCTGGAGCACGCCAATAAAGTGCTCCAGCTAAGAGTCGTGCCCTGTCAGCATTTTAGCAGGGATGACAGACCCCCCCCCACCTCCCCCCCTTCTTGGACTCAGAACGGTATTCCAATCCAAGGCGGAGCTGACGGGTGCCAAGCCAGAGAACCGCCTGGCGACACCCGTGCCTCTGAAGGCTGAGGCTCGTGCCTGCATGGTGCTGCATGCCCAATTGAGTGCTTTTTGCCTTCCATCCAAGGATGCTGTGCCGACGATGCCGAGATCCTCTGCTGCTTCTGGGATTTCTGGGGCCAAGCAAGAGAAGGAGCCGTAGCCTGCATTAGTCCAGGTAGGACTCGACAGGCGCTGGCATCATATGGCATCCAAGGATGCTGTGCAGGCAAGATCTCCCTGCGATCCGCTACCCCCGCAGACCGTGCCCAAGCCTGCACTAGCCTTCAACGGGTTGGATCTGCTCCTTTTCTCGTTCCAATCTCAGGCCGCGAAGAAGGCAAAGAAAGAGAAGAATTGAGTGAGCTCAGGGGCTGTAGAGCCGACGGTAGTTCTGGCCTCCTAGAGCGACAGCAGCAACACACAGCAACACACACCACCACACAACAAGACACAGCAGCACACACCAGATGGGGGGCCGGAGTTTTGGAGATCCCTGGAATGCCCTGAACCACTCTGGACCGTTGGTGGCAGGCTTGTAGGCATGTGGGGTTAGAGGGCTTGGAGGGTACAGTGGTCGTGAGGTCTGAGGGCCGAGCGCATCGCAAAACCAAACGTAAGGTACAGTGGTCCAGGGGGGGGGAGTACTTGGAGGGTCGGGGGGACTTAGTAAGTAGGTAGTAAGTAGACTTATAAGTACCCTAAAAGGGACCCTAATTGGGGTTATGGTACTTATAAGTCCCTAAAATAACCAGTTTCTAAGTCCCCCGACCCTCCAAGTAGCTGAGGCTGGCACGATTCCGAGGGGTGAGTTTCGCAGACGAGAAAAGGATGTGCTAGTGTGCGAGTGCCTGCATGTGCACGATATCTTGTCTATCTGCCGATTCACACCTTTGCTACGGCAGGCTGCACATCCTGCAACGAGCCATGTGGCCGGGGCTTCGGTGGTTTCCCGGATCTTTGCTCAGAGTCGCATGGTACATTGTACCTGCTTCTCCTTAGGTCACAAGACAGCCCGATGCATCCATGGAGGAGGCTCGAGTTGCCTGGGGCCTAAGCCTTGCACTAAGTGGGTCGGAGGCTTGGGCACTGTGATAGGGCCCATGCGCAGGTCAGGACTCCGATAAGATAGAGAGCGATGGGCACTGTGATAGGGCCCATCGCTGGCTTGGGCACTGTGATAGGGCCAGGAGTGGAGGTGTGCTTTCCTTCCGAGGTCGCGAGGTCAGAGGTCCGAGGTCAGAGCTCCATCCCCTCCTCCTCTGATGATGAGTGTGCATGGCAGCTGCTGCATGCTCAAGCCTAGTTGCCACGCTGAAGGCGTTGCAGCCATGGACTCCATATACTGCGGCGGTCTGGAGAGCTGCAACAAGCTCTGGTGGCTGCTCGTTCACTTCGCTGCGACCTGGGGGCCCCAATTCGAGGGCGAGATGGACCGCTTCCACACCACGGATGATGGCTACTACAAGGACCGCCGCAATGCCATGCATTTGAAGTTCCACGGGGAAGCGGAGGCGGTGCTCCCAGGGTCATCTCGCTGGGGCGTATTCACACCGGCCGCGGTCGTGCGTCTTTTGGCACCAGCCTGGTGGCGCAGAGTCGGCTTCAGCCAGGACGTGTCGCACCGCTTTTTGGAGTGTTGGCTGTACACGCAATTTCCACTCCGAGGCCAGATTTTCGAGGACGTCGTGGAGATTCTGCACTGCTTTTGCGAGATGGTCCATTGCTCTGACTACGTTGCCGCGGTGCCTGGTGAGATCCGGACGTTCCAAGACCTGATGGATGCCCGAGCGTCCATGGTGAGGCGCCTTTGGCAGCTGAAGCAAGAGCAATGGGAGCTTCGACGTGGCTTGCAGTTTTCAGCTTAATTTGCTCCAGGGCGCATGGCCGGTGCCCACCTTGCATGCAACTTCTTTGAGTTTGTGACGTCGAATTTGGACGACTCACAGCTCACGAGCCTGATTAAGAGCAGTTCCGAGCAAAATGAGCGTCTTTCCTTTCCGAGCTCCTCCCCGCCTCCTGCTGCCCTGTCCTCGCCCCCCTCCTTCCACTCAGGTCTGGTCTTCTTTGGTGGCCGTGATCTCGGCCTGGGTTCGTAACTACTTCAGTCTTCAGTTCTTGCAAACTTTGCACAAGCACGTAAAGCTTGGTATAGGTAGGCTAGGGTAGGTAGCAGGCTAGGAAGTAGGGCGGCTGCTAGTGCGCCGCGTAGGGCAGGTAGTTTTCCAGCTAGGGCGGCTGTTAGTGCGCCGCGTAGACAGGTAGGGTAAGAGCAGCTAGGAAGTAGTATAAGTAGTGTGGGGCAGGTAGGCTGGGGTGTAGTGTAGGGCGGCTGCTAGTGCGCCGCATGAAATATCTAGATGTATTATATAAATAAACCCTAAGCTACCCTAGGCTGTTAGTGCGCCGCGTAGACAGGTAGGGTAAGAGCAGCTAGGAAGTAGTGTGGGGCAGGTAGGCTGGGGTGTAGTGTAGGGCGGCTGCTAGTGCGCCGCATGAAATATCTAGATGTATTATATAAATAAACCCTAATACCACGAAGCTATCATCTGTTGGATTACGACTGAAGGCCTCTAAGTCGGAATTCATGCTGGCTAAGCAGAGTTGCCCGCCACTCTCATTGTAACAGCCCTGAAATTGCTTCTCCCCTTGGCCTCTAGGCTCCCGAGCAGCTGGGCGGCGGAGCTGCTGACCTTTGCCTGGGCATCTACAGCCGGGGGCTCCGGAGCCAGGGATTCGGTTTCTAATAGTTTCTAAGATTTAAGGCGGCGGTTTAGGATAAGGCTAAAGGGTAACAGATACCCTAGATCCAGAACCTTAACCCCGCCCTTATTCCCAAATCCAGGCGTAGGAGACCATCCCAGGCGACACAGAGGACCCCCAAGGTATCAGCCTGCACCCTAAACCTCAACCCTAAAGCATAAACGGGTCTTAGGCTAAGGAGAGCTTTGGGGTTTACGGGGTTGTCGGGCTGTCTGCTTTTATGGGATTTAGGAGAATTAGAAGATGTGGGGGCTGAGGGGGTCTACAGTAGAAGCCACCAAGTTGGAACATCACTGCCCTCATGCCCTTAAGGTAAAGTACAAGGGATCCTAGCACTAATCCTCCTAAAGTCATGTTCCAACTTTCTGGCTTCTACTGTAGGGGGAACACGGCTGTAGGCTGTAGTGCTTTGGGATTTAAGGGGTTGTCTGCTTTTGGGGGTCCGGATGTCTTTGGAGTCTAGGGGGTCTAGGGAGGAAAGGGATTAGGGCTTTAGGGTTTAGGGTTTTTTTTGTGGTTTTAGTGACTTTCGGATTTGACGTTCAGGTAGGGGATCGAGGGGGTCTAGGGTGTTCCTGGCTTTAGTGTTTAGGGGGTTGTCTGCTTTCAGTGGATTTAGGGGGTTCAGTTTAGGGGTTGCGGGGGTTTAGGGGAGTGAGTTTAGGGGGGTGTTCGTTTGTTTTTTGAAAAGGGATCCTTTTGTTCTGAAGGGTTAAGGGATTTGGGGTTTAGGTAGTGTAGGGGATCCCTAGACCCTAAACCCCTGCTTTTGTGTTGTTTTTTTGGGTTTTAGGGACTTAAGGGTTTAGGGATTTGGGGTTTAGGTAGTGTAGGTGAGCCCTAAACCCTAAACCCCTGCTTTTGTGTTTTTTTTGGGTTCTAGGGACTTAAGGGTTAGGGAGTTGGGGTTTAGCTAGTGCTGGGGATCCCTAAACCCTAAACCACGAAGCCTCTTAGTGTCGTTTCACTTTGCAGACTCGAACTCATATGCCTCGCCTGGTTTGTCCGAGTGTGAGCGCCGAAACCCCTGGTTTGGTGTTTTTGCCGGCAAGGCCGGCAAGCCCCTCGGCAAGCCCGCTGGCAAAGCAGCCGGCAACCAAGGCACCGCAGCCAACGACAGGGCCCAGGTCGTGCTCTTTGCGAATTCAAAAAAGAGCTGTGTCGACCAACAAGAAGGTGAGCCCCTCGGCAAGCCCGCTGGCAAAGCAGCCGGCAACCAAGGCACCGCAGCCAACGACAGGGCCCAGGTCGTGCTCTTTGCGAATTCAAAAAAGAGCTGTGTCGACCAACAAGAAGGTGGCCGAGGCCTGACCTCGTGCAGCACGAAGCCGCGGACAGTACCAGCCGCAAGCGGCACCGGTACGTCTTCACGAGCGGCCTTGGAACTGAGTGCCCTTCGGCACATGCTGGCGAAGAACATCGTGCATGCAATTCGTTCCGAAGTCGGGTTTAGGGTTTAGGCTGTAGGGTTGGCTCTTCAGGGGTTTAGTCTGTAGGCCTTCGGGTGCCTACGATTCAGGGCTGCGGGCTCACGATTTAGGGTAGTTAGGGTACTGCTTCTAGGCTTGCGGGTTTAAGCTTAGTAGAAATTAGGATTGCTCCCAGACCTCGAAAGCATGAACCATACTTAAAGGATCATGGGAGGGTTATAATTCGGGTAACTATACTGATATAACTACTTATCTTCCCAATCAAGGTACTTATAACCTTACTTACTAAGTCCTATGATCCTCCAAGTAAAGTTGAGATTGCAGAAGCATGAGCTTTTGCCTTTGAGGCTGCAAAGCGGGCTTCCGGACAGGTTTTCCATTTTTTCTGCTGTGCTGATGTGTTCGGGTGAGGGTCTAGGTTTTCACCTTAAGGCTTTCGAGAAGGCTCTCCCATGTCCCTGCCCCAACCACATCTGTCCTGTAGGAGGATGCTAGGCCAGACAACCTTAATTCTTATTGGGTTACCTGAACTAAGATGGCAGAACCTAAGGCTCCAAGCTTCCCTCATGAACTCCCCCCTGACTCTGGAGCCACCCGGGCTTTCTAATAAGGTCGGCCGATTCCTCCCACGTCCTTGGCTGTGGGGGACTCGAGACCGGGTTGGATTCGGGGTCTTGAGACTGCTCTGCTTTGTTCCTGTGGGGTTGTGCCGAGTTGCCGGAGGACAGCATGCCAGTGCAAGCAGAAGCCCAGAGCCTGAAACCCTCCTTGGAGCTAAACCTGGGTCCTAGTTGAAAGGGTGCGGCTTGGGGTGCGAATTGGAAAAAACCGAGGTGCGAATTGGTTGCGACTGCCCGCCTCTGGCATTGCCAGCCCGGAGCTCAAGCTGCACATTCCGTCTGCGGCTGGGGTTTAGGGCCTGGGGTTTGGGATTGGGGTTTGGGCAAGGGTTTGGGCCTTATAAGGTTCAGGGCTTACGGCTTAGGGTTTAGAGCTTAAGGTTTGGGGTTTAGGGCTAAGGGCTCAGGATATAGGGTCTAGGGTTCAGGGATCCTACTCCCCAAAGCCCGAAGCTAAAACCCTAAAAGCCAAGACAAAGTAAACATTCCTGATTTCCTCATGCTGGTCCTGGTTGCTTATTGCAGGATGCATTTTTCGGGCCCCGGAACACGCATCCAGGCCTTTCCCGATGCTTTGGAGGCTTCCAGAGCAAATTGCTTTGGCTGGAAGGTAGAACTGGGATAACTGGGTTGCTGCTGTCCGGATTCATTTCGGTTCGCAGGCGCCTGGATGCATGTTTCGGCCCGGCTTGGGGGATTCTAAAAGAATTTGGTTTGGCAGGAAAGTAAAGCCGCATTGCTGCTGGACGGGTTTTGGCTGGCACATGTCTGGATGCATTTTTGGGGCCTCGGAACACGCATCCAGGCCTTTCCCTAAGCTTTGGGAGCTTGTGGGGCAAGTTGCCGTGGCTTGAAAGTAAACCGGACTTGCTGCTGGACTGGTTGTGGTTGGCACATGTGTGGATGCATGTTTCGGGCCCTCGAATACGCATCCAGGCCTTTCCTGACACGTCGTTCGGCACGCAAGTAAGGCTGGATTGCTGGTTCACGAGTTTGGGCTGAGATGTTTGGATGCGTTTTTCGGGCCCTGGAACACGCATCCAAGCCATCGATCCAAGCCTTTCCTGAGGCGTTGGAGGCTTCTAAGCAAACCTGGATTGCTGATGCGCGGGTTTGGGCTGGCACCTGTCGGGATGCATTCTTCGGGCCCCGGAACACGCATCCAGGCCTTTTCGGATGCTGTGGTGGCTTCTTAGGATTTCTTAGGCAACATGCTTTGCCTGGACAGTAAAGCTGGGCTGTTGGTGGACTGTCTGGATGCATTTTTCGGGCCCCGGAACACGCATCCAGGCCTTTCCCGATGCTTTGGAGGCTTCCAGAGCAAATTGCTTTGGCTGGAAGGTAGAACTGGGATAACTGGGTTGCTGCTGTCCGGATTCATTTCGGTTCGCAGGCGCCTGGATGCATGTTTCGGCCCCCGGAACACGCACTCAGATCTTTCCTGAGGGCTTGGGGGATTCTAAAAGAATTTGGTTGGGCAGGAAAGTAAAGCCGCATTGCTGCTGGACGGGTTTTGGCTGGCACATGTCTGGATGCATTTTTGGGGCCTCGGAACACGCATCCAGGCCTTTCCCTAAGCTTTGGGAGCTTGTGGGGCAAGTTGCCGTGGCTTGAAAGTAAACCGGACTTGCTGCTGGACTGGTTGTGGTTGGCACATGTGTGGATGCATGTTTCGGGCCCTCGAATACGCATCCAGGCCTTTCCTGACACGTCGTTCGGCACGCAAGTAAGGCTGGATTGCTGGTTCACGAGTTTGGGCTGAGATGTTTGGATGCGTTTTTCGGGCCCTGGAACACGCATCCAAGCCATCGATCCAAGCCTTTCCTGAGGCGTTGGAGGCTTCTAAGCAAACCTGGATTGCTGATGCGCGGGTTTGGGCTGGCACCTGTCGGGATGCATTCTTCGGGCCCCGGAACACGCATCCAGGCCTTTCCCGATGCTGTGGTGGCTTCTTAGGATTTCTTAGGCAACATGCTTTGCCTGGACAGTAAAGCTGGGCTGTTGGTGGACGGGTTTGGTCCAAGACTGTCTGGATGCATTTTTCGGGCCCCGGAACACGCATCCAGGCCTTTCCCGATGCTTTGGAGGCTTCCAGAGCAAATTGCTTTGGCTGGAAGGTAGAACTGGGATAACTGGGTTGCTGCTGTCCGGATTCATTTCGGTTCGCAGGCGCCTGGATGCATGTTTCGGCCCCCGGAACACGCACTCAGATCTTTCCTGAGGGCTTGGGGGATTCTAAAAGAATTTGGTTTGGCAGGAAAGTAAAGCCGCATTGCTGCTGGACGG